AGGAGAAAACGCTGTCTGAAAATCACGATTTTCATCAAAACTCACTTTTCAGAGTACTCTATTGACTGAAAGGAAGCTTACATTGAGCTGAAATTTTTAAGTGATACGTATTGCTATGTGATCTAGTTCTATTAAAAATTTCAGATCTCTATGTTATTCTCATCGCGAGCTATGAAGTACCAAACAAGGTGACCAAAATGTGAATTTTTGCTCATATTAGATGAGTCATAAAAGACTAGGGGCCCAATATTTTGAGCTAAAACTTTTATGTTGGCTCTAACTCATGAAGATATATGTCTAAAGATGATTTCAACCAAATTTGTCATGCCGTTCTCAAGCTATGACCCAGGCAGGACAGCCCTTGGTCGAAATGTTGATTTTTAGTACTTTTAGTAAAATAGCCATAAAAAATCAACGGTTCAATATTTTTCTAAACGGTTTGCGTCAAAGTTCATAACAGTCTTTCTTCTATAAGAGTATTTCAAATTCAGCAAATTCGGAAGACCCTGATTGAGTAGCTTCTCTATTATCTCGGTCGGGGTTTACGTGGAATAGCTCATATGTATATGAACTATAGAAGTAATTATCTTGTGTTTATTTTTCTTGTTGCCGAGAATTTGTTCATGTCGTGTTCTTTTTCTTCTTAGTTTTTATAGAGTAATATGTGGCAATTCTTTATTCTTTTGCTAGTTTACAGGCCAGATACAATGATACTGCTAATGCTCATTCTCAACATTCTTCCTTGGTCCCTATTATTTCTTCCTTTTCGTCTCTCTTTGAATATGCACTCTATAGCCTCATTATGTCGTCTTGATTTATTTACTGATCTGCACTAAACAATGTATATTTGTCTAAAAGATAATTGTTTAAAAGAAAAGCGAGCATCAATATGCTTCTTTTTTTGGCTTTTCTTCTTTCGATTCTTGTTGCATAGCTATCCATTAAAAGAAAGATAAAACAATCAAATGATAGTTTATATAAACACAAGTATTTTGTAATTTTTGAAATAAAGAATATATAGTAACTATTTATCTTGATATGTGATTTTATTCCAACATCATTAGTAACTTTTTTTTTGAATTAAGAATAATTAACTAAAATACATATTCTCGTCAGAAATATATCTGGCGATAAAACATGTGCCTTTTTGTAACATCATATGTTAACAAAAAAGAAATACAAGTTTAAAGCAACTATATGATTTTGTATGTTAATGGTTACATTCAATATGTCTTAAAAGAGAAAAGAGAGATTAAATCAACAATTAAGATTACAGAATATCATTTAGTTTTTAGAAAAATAGTCAACATTTGTCATCAGATCGAATATCCTGCGCATTCATATTTCAATGCTGTTTGATGTAAAAAAAAAGGGGTAGACATGATTTATATTTCTCAAGTAGTACAATTGTTGAATCAAGATATTTTCTAACTACTCAGACAAAATACAAATTGGCTCTTTCTTGTAATATCCAATGAATAATGTCTAGAAGATTGGTAAAATAAGCTGGGATTACATGCTTCAGAATCGATCCATTGAAGCATGATCGATACTAATTTGGAAAATAACAATCGAAGAAATTATTTCCGGAAAATAAATGCTGCTTCTGAGTCGTAAAATACGAAAGAGCTAGGACTGTGCAGTCTTAGTAATCTGTTCGCCGAAAACTTACACTAACTGCACTGAATCTGTTTCCACTGATTTATCTGTCATATCCGTATTGTATAGGTGTCGCAAAATCTGTTATGACATTCATATCGTGTGGAGAATTAATTACGACATATTTCATGAGCAAACGAGATGAGAAAAATCATCGTGAACCGAAAGACTCAGTGTTAAATTCTTTCAGTCAGTATACTTCGATAGTTTTGTAACTCGGCAAAGTTACTTTAATTTGAACAATAATTAGATAAATATATTCTACGATAGTTCTACAAAAACATTTTTCTTTCACAATGACGATTGTCTTTTGCAAAGGATTTTTACTAGTAATAACTTATTGACGAGTAAAAACAACTAGACATCAACATCTATACAGAAAAAAAGCATAATCAAATACTATTTGTTTTTGTAGTTACAAGTTTATTAGTTCTCACATTTTTGACAAAATGTTAACATTTATCGGATTCTTTTTCTTTCTCTATAAATAAATACATGGCTATTTAAATCAAAATTTCAGAACAAATAGATTATTTAAAACATTGAACATTCAATATCAACAAAATTAATCATATGATAGCAAACAGCTGTCAAACAAACTTGACATATATTAATCTCAAGTTTTCGAATGATTGACTATTTTAATCTACTAGTTAAAAAGATTCATTGTAAAACTACTTGCAATCTACATAAAAAACTCGACAAAGAAAATTATATTCAGTATGTCTAAAAGTGTGAGTCAACCATCACATTCATTTCATACATAATCAAATGAATATTTCAAAAGTACATTTCAAGAATTTTTCCGAGATTTATCAATTACATTAATATCATACTACATACTTTCGATGTCATCTAAAACTTTAGAAGTATCGTAGTAGGTAAACATCAACTATAATTCAAAGGAACTCATCGACTCAAACTACATTGAATTGATCGAACGCCGATCGTTTCTTTTCTTTAATGTTCTCGACTTGCTTTCATCGAACTTCTGTTCGAAAGATAAACCAATCCAATCCACGTATCCGAGACTGTTGTAGCTACAATTACCGATCTAGATACTTCAGTCAACCAATCCACATAAGAGATCACATGCCGAGAGTCAAGATTCTCTCTCAGTTTACCAATGCATGATCAAGAAATTTCTCAGCATGGCTGTATGATTCAAATGAACTTGGATTGTCTTCACTATACCCCAGGCAGACAGCGAAACGAATAAAACGGTGTTTAAACATTCCAATATGTAAACTATTTAAACAGTGTCATATGTCGCCAAAAACACGTTAAAACGGTTTATGGAAAAATAACTTTTAACATGTTTTACATGTTTAAACGCGTGGAACCATTGAGATTTTAACTGTTTTAACGTGCTTTTTGCGACTAATGACACTGTTTAAACAGTTGAAATAATTTCCGTTATAACTTCTCTTAATGATCAACAAACGTTTCATCTAAACGATGAAGTGCCAACAATTTATAACTAAATTCTTTTCTCATTGATATACTGAGCGATTATGTTCAAACTACTATTAAATTAATGTTAAATTGACATATGTTTATTGTTTGAAAACAGCGCGGAGAATTTCTCTCTCATTAGTTCGTTTCGTTTTATATTAAGACTAAGTTTAAATTTCACTATTTACTGTTTTCTAATAGTGGAATGGAATGCCAATACGTTAATGCTGTTTGATTAAACCTACATATTAATCTTCCGTTCCACTATTGAAAAAACAAAAAGGAAAATATGTAAAATCTAAACTTAGTCATAATATAAAAGAAAACGAACTGATGAGAGAGAAATTCTTAGCACTGTTTTCATAGAATAAACATGTCAATTTTACATTAATCTAATGGTAATTTGAAGATAATAGGTCAGTTCATCAACGAGAAGAAAATTTAATTATTTGCACTCATGTTTCATATTTCAAATAATTGACGGATAAGATAGACTGATGAATAGATTTAAACTACTACGGCTAACACAGGGATCGATGAAAAAAAAAGACAAACCACGGTTTATCTAACTAGCTTCTAATATATAGAAAACTAAAACCGGAACTACTTTGGTAGGCAGATGCTCTTTTCGATTTTCATTAATAAACTTAACTTTATTTGGATAAAATTCTGAAGTATCGAAGTTCACAGATATGATATAATTAAAAGTGGCATCGATGCACTACCAAATCTCTTAATTGTGGTGTGCATTAAGTCGATTGGGAAATTGATTAAGCTACGCCTATGTACCAGAATGCTATCTGTTTTTCTCTATAGTGACGATATTTCTTTTAAAGCTCATGCATATTTCGTTGACTTGAGATTTCTTNCACAATGTAGTTGTACCAAAATACCCGAAATTAGTATATAAATCTCAACCGATCGAATATGTGAGAAAATTCAAATATCTAGGAATTACTGTTACAACAAAGTTAGGTTGGGGTTTATATATATCAGAAAAAATGAAAAATGTAAGAAAAGTTTATAATGGAATGAAGATTTTTTTTCATTGAATACCAAAAAATGATACTAAAATGAGACGAAAAATTTTTCTAGCTTATTCATTACCACACTTTTTATGGATTTTCTGCATGTGGTTTTTTTTAACTGAGAAACAGAAGGAACAAATTGAACATGTTTGTTGTTCTGGTCTTAGATTGGTTTACTCATTGCAGGGTTGGGATGATTTTACAACATTAACGCTTAGTCAAGAAAAATCCCTTCGTGATTATCTATATTCTTATTGGCGAAAATTTCATTTGTATTTAGAGACAGCGGAAGAAGCTTTGTGTTATCAAAACACCTGGACAGCATACTTAATTGCTACAACCCTGATAAGAGTTGGTATAAATCTATGAAATTGAGAAAAAATAACAAGTTTTTAACAAGATTAGTGACTAGGGCACGACATAGCAGGATGGATTGGTTAGAATTTGAAAACATTCAATGTCAGCAATATGAGTATTTTAAAAATTCAACGACCTTATTGAATATATTTGCATTTAAATATTTTGTAATGCCGCCATAATTGTGTAGCTTTAGTTGTAAAAGAAAAGTACTGTTACTTAATCTTATTAATTGTATTATTCTTTTTTCTATAATTATATCTATTGATTTATTATGTTAAATATTTCTTTTCTTTATACTTCTGTGCGTGTATTCTTGATGTGTATTTGGAGGTGTGATTGACATCGTGATATATCTAATAATTTACTCTTCTTTCTCGCTGATGTCACCTTTTCTTTTTCTTGTGAACCTAACTATGGCACAATAAATTATGAATATTAAAAAAAAAAAAATCGTATATTTTCTTTTTTCTTTCCTTCTCCTCTCCTCGCTAACTTCAGATGACTACTGAAAACTTTCGCTTTTACATAAAAGTACGTACTGCACTTAACATTCCAGCAAGAGTTATCCATGATGAATTGAACTCTGTTTATGGTGATGAAGCCCCTGGTCTGAGCACAGTCGAACGATGGTCAAAATTGTTTCGTGAAGGTCGGGAAGAAATTGAAGATAAAGCGCGACCTGGTAGACCTATTGCTGAAACAACAACTGAAAATATCGAACAGATTCATCTTCTCATTGATCATGATCCTTACATTACAATCGAGGGTATCCAAGAACGAACTAATTTGAGTTATGGGACTGTTCCACGAATAATCGATGATCATTTAAAGCTTCGGAAGATAACCGCACGTTGCATACCTAAGGATCGTACCGATCTTCAGCGAGCTGAACGGGTTCGAATATGCAAGCAAAATTTAGAAAAATTCCACCAAGGCACGTGGCGTTTATGTGATATAATTACTGGTGATGATTCCTGGTTCTATCACAAACAGGTCGGTCGAAAGGTATCTAACAAAGCATGGGTGAGTATAGGAGATCCTCCACCTACTATTGTTCGAGGAAGTCGGTTCGCATCAAAAACCTTGTTTTCGATCTTTTTCAAATCGACCGGGCCTATGTTAACCCATCGAATCGAACGTGGTCAGACTGTTGACCATCATTATTACATCAACCAGTGTTTACGACCTCTGATCGACGAGATCAAACGTCAAAGACCTTCGTATGGGACTCGTGGTATCAAAATTCATCATGACAATGGTAGACCACATGTGCATAAAGATGTATCCGATTATCTTGAATCTGAAGGCCTTACAATAATACCGCATCCACCTAATTCTTCAGATTTATCACCTTGTGACTTCTGGTTATTCGACTTGATCAAAAATAATCTGACTGATCAAGATGATTCAGAATCATTACATGATGCTGTGGCCGATTTCATGCACTCCTTAAATCGCGACGAGTACAAAAAGACCTTCGAGAAATGGATCGAAAGAATGCAGCTGTGTGTAAATAATCATGGTGATTACTTTGAACATTTAGTGAAATAATCACTAAATTCATTTCTGTTTTTGTTTTCTTTTGCTTTTCATTGCTTTCGTCACACAGTAAAACATGTGGAATCAGGTTGTAAGAAATGATAAGAAGAAGAAAATGAAATAAAAGAAAGAAGAAGAACACAGAAAAAAAGAAAAAAATGATGTATGGACGAAAATATCAGCTTCTGTTTCCAGGGAGTTGTACGCAAAAAACCTTTTTCTCGAAATTTCGCTAACTTAGTAGAAGGCGAGGAATGATCAAATAGCATAGAAAAATAGAGCGAAACACGCTCTATCTATTGATAAAAAAAGAAACTTTTTTAGACCTCTGCTTGAGGAAATAAGGTACCTCCCTCACTAGTTTTGGATTGCCCTAAGTACAATCATTCATCAATGTTGAAGTATCGAAAGAAAAACATTAGGAAGAAAGCAACAATCGATCGATAATGCTCAAACAAATAAATGTGAACTGAGATGAAGAATTCAAATTGACATGCGACATGCAACATTCAAAAATTCAAATAAGAAATAGAAAACCAGAGATCAATAAACGAGTCGAGACGCCATTGATCAATGATCCAAATGTGATAAACAAATCGTCTAGAAAGCAATCGAACAATTTATATTAATTCTCAAAACATAAGGTTTACTTCGTTGTTCATTCGATTTCGTTATTCGGCATTAAGAAGAGTTCAGCAATGAATGAGAGAGAATCATTTCTCAACGTAATAAGAAGACAATTAAACAATGACTGGATGAATTCGGTATGGATGTTGGTTCATTTAAAGTTCTTGTTTGTTTGTAAATACTTTATAATAAGAACTATATGTTGCTGTTGTAGTTAATGGTATACAATAGTTCCATAATTTCGTTGCTTCCAGTAGAATAGCAATAAATTGCCATTGATTCGAGTTTGATTGCAGAAAACATAGACCACCGCTGAAGTTAAATGTTGGTGGAATATCAATATTCAATTTTGTTTTATCGAAATATCTTGATTTGCCAGTGCAATTGATAAATGTATTCAGTAACCTTAGCTGTGTTGGTGTTTTATCATTAACAACAGCTATACTCTTTAATGATGCCCGAAGATATATCAGCGGGTACGGAATTAAATCAAAAGAAGACGGTGCTATACCAACATATCCAATGACATTTATTGATATGCAATTATTATTCAAAATGAATTCTGTTGAATTGAATGACGTTGGTATAAATGTGAATTCACTTTTGAACATTTAATTACGCCTAAACAAAGAAATGATAAAAGAGTTTATTTCAAAGTGAAAATCGTTGTCAGAATTAAATTAGAAAAAACAATAAATCCTATAGGCAATCAACGACTTTGGCAAACATCTGTCAAATAAGTATACCACGAGAATTTTGAACGACTTTTTCCGAACCTTTAGCACCAACATTATAACCACTGAAAAAAACGCCACAAATCATATAATGAATGATTTTCTGAAAGAGATAGGGCATAACACAAAAAATATTCTATTAACGAATTCTTTTCCTAAATCCAATATTTTCAGAAAATATCGTTACAAAGACAGATCAAGAATCAAAATAAAAATTGAAATTTCTTTTCGAATGAACAAAGCGACAAGAGCACTCTTTTTGACAAACAATGCTAATCCCATGTACATCACTGGTATTCTTGATTAATATGAACAATTTTCCTCATATAAACGAGATTCCTATAGGCGAATATAGCAGAGAACTCTCTGAAAAGGTTTTTAAAAAGAATGTCACCTTTTCATCTATCAAAATGTCTCCTCTCCTGTTGTTGGTAATTCTATTCTTTGTCAATTGTTTGTTAACTTTGCATTACGTACCGATATCCTCCCACCATGATAGAAAAAATAATGCTGTGCTTGATCTTATCTGACATTTCAATACTTGTAATGATAATCAACTTTACAAATCATTCTTGGCAGTTTCAATTTCGAATGAAGATATACATAACAATGGATAACAAAATACCAATAGCATATGCAACAATACACGGCATAAATATGAATATAATAGGACACATATGAATAATTTATAATTGAACAAATTGAGTTTAATATATTACGAGAATAGTATTTATATCAGAGTAAAATTATTCAAAGTCACAATTTCATTAAATGTTAATAGATATTATGGTACAATTACATGAAACCTTGTTATAATGATAATATAATCATCATTTTTATGTATAATAATACCTGTACCAGTCATCTCATTAACATTCGTTTGAAATAAATCATATTTATGATAGATTTCTATTAAATATCTTATAATTGGAGATGTTAGTCGAACTTCATTATATGAATCGAGCAATCAAAATTTATCTCCATGTTGAACAACAAAATATCGGTAATTTATAACTGATCTGAGTGTGGGTGTGGGTGTGCGTGTGAGCGTGGGAATTGTCTTCTCTTCATCCATACCCACACCCCGCACCCTACGTCCACACTCACACCCACACCCATCATTAGAGTTGTCATGGTTATCAGATTTTTAATCTTCATCGTCAAGAAGCAGTTCATGATGCTATTCTTCCATATTTTATATATTCACTGAATATATATTACTGTTGATATCCACGAAATCTCATATTAATTGCTTTCTTCTAATCGTACCATTCAAAGTTCTATGTTTTTCTTTTATTCTCTTCGTCACTTTTGTCACTTTTATTCTCAAATAAATACGATTGAGCAATAATGCAACGAAAATAAAATGTTAAAAAGATTAAAACAAAGACTCTTGCGAAACACGATCTGAAAGAAGTGTTGAAGTATATAGTTTAGAAGTTCGGACCCGTCCGCCCGCATAGATCATGGCAGACATTTTAAGACCTGGCCACCGACTCTCCAAGACGTTCTTACTATACGATCAAAGACCGTATATCAACAACATCTTATTATAATATATGAACTATTTCTTGATTCCAGGTCTGAAGGTTTACGTAGAAGGATAGTGAAGTAATGTGTTGCAAAGTAGATAGAATAAAACAGCCTCTCTCTGATCACTCAAAACAGCCACATCGTGTTTCACATTTTAATGTGTCGCAGAGCTTTTTTCATAAGACAGGTCTTCTAATATGTGGGAGCGGAGGAGATTATATCATATGATTCAGATTGTTCGACATAAAATGTAAGAGCGAAAACTGATATGATTTACAATATCATTTCATCATGCTGGATTAATAAACTTGTTTGTTAGTTCAGTATAGATTGACATGTATTTCTCTCCGAAATCAATCCATCTGTGAGTTTCCATAGCAAGAATATCTTCATAGAGATAATTTGCGCTAGTGTAATTTGTCAATTGACCGAAACGTTTAATATCGATACCGAAATAGAGTAACCGAACGGAATGCCATATTAATTTTTTTGTTTTATAAAAGTTATAATTATTAGGTAATGGTGTATGATTCCATATTGGATCTTTTGACATTTTATCGATTGCTTCTCGAGTATTTGTATCATTATTTTCATTTGGAAATAAGTTTTCTATCATATTTTTACATGCCATAAAAAGATGAGATCGAGAATGGTTAATAATGGATTGTGTTAACATTTTTTCATCGACACGAAACTCATCAGAAAACTTTCGTTTCTCAATCCATTTGAGCTCTGCTGGCAGATAAACACATTCAATGGCAAATATTGTATTTGTTTGAAGAAGCATACAAAAAGTAGGTACATTGAATATCCATACTTGTCCTACTCTATCGCCCAAATCAATAAAACATGTCCTATCCGATATATCAGAAAATAAATGACGAAAATCTGGATTTATCCAATTGTGTCTTATTAACCAGTTTACACTATTCCATTTCAATGATGGATGAATATTCAATGCATGTGATTGTAGTACCATCACAATATCGTAATCACTCTGTCGTTGTTCACTTGCTGTGCCGTACGCATGCGATCCAAACACATATATACATTCGACCAATTTTTCATCAAGTTTGAGTTGAGATAGGAGTACGGCCTTGTTCATTTCCGGTGTTTATTGAAATGAAGTTCGAATATTGATTGTTGAATATACTTGCTGCTAGACTGATCGTAAAACAATACTTGATTTTTATACATATTGCATATTACAGCTTGATTGTGTAAGATCTTGCACGCACACACTTTTGTGTTGTGGCTCAAGGTAAACAAATGAGTAATGTAATTGTGAAAGACACTGTTTTTCTTATGACATATGCGTAAAGTGGAGGGGAAAAGTTTAAGGCACTTTGTGTTTTTCATTTTTCTTCATGAAAGACCGCTTGTAATGAATATCCAAATAATGATTTCAATAGACCTCGAACCGAGCTACAAATCTATAATATCAAAAACATTAACAATGAACTCACTCACTTTTTTATAAGAGAAATTGCTTTTATCCAGCGGAGAAAAATTTAAGGTACTTTTTATATTTTATCGATTTTGCTGTGATCTAAGAACAAAAAAACTTTCCAAAATATATCGTTACATTCAGAATTGAATGGACTACATGTTGATATTGATAATTTTCAAAACAAAAACAACTATAATAATTACATACCAATTATTATTAATTATAATTAGTTAAGGGTTAATAAAAAGATCTTGTCATAATTTTCTACTTTGAAGTAGACCATAAGATAGAGCATCGAAAACTAAACAATACTATGCATTGGCTGTTGTACAACAACCCGGTCTGAATGAGATTTTAGCACTCTTTTGCAATTTAATTAATACTAAATTAATAATTAAGAAAATTTAGCTGTAAGAGTATGCTTCAGAACTCTGAAAACCATAGCATTTTGTAGAGCGGAGTTGATTTTCTGAAATAGAATATGGTGAGTTTGTTTACAATCTGTTTTTCATGAGAAATAGTACATTGAGAAAAGTTTAGCTAAAACAAGGCAAAAAATAGGTTGAAATCCGTGAAATTATTGAGGAAAATAGGAAACGATATCTAACATGTAGATTGCAGCTTTAAGAAAGTCACCATATCTCATTTGAGAGAACAAACTCTGCTGTACAAAATGATATACTTTTCAGAGTTTTGTAGAATGATCTTACAGCTAAATTTTCCCAATTATTAATGTAGTATTAATTAATTTCAAAAGAATGATAAAAAATCTCATCAAGACCAGTTGTTGTACAACAGCCAATATATCGTTTTGTTTCGCTTTTAATGTTCTGTCATATGGTATACTTCGAAATCGAAAATGATGAGAAGATTTTTTTATTAATCCTTAACTAATTACAATTAATAATAATTAGTATTTAATTATTATAGTTGATCTTCTTTCGAAAATTATTGATATCAACATGAAGTCCATTCAATTCTGGACCTAACGGTATGTTTTTGCAACTTTCTCTGTTCTTAGATCACAGAAAAACCTGAGGGGAAAACAGCGAACTTCAAGACCTCAAAGGATTTCAAAATACTTCATTCGACTTCATAAGACTTCAGGAGACTTCATTAGACTCCATAAGACTTCTTTTTGAAGTCAAATGAAGTCCTGAAGTCTTTCTGGAGTCTTATCAAGTCTCATGAAGTTCTCTGGAATTTTGGAAGCAAAATCAGTGCATGGAAAATTCATAAGAAAACTAATGAAACAGTCTGTTTTTTGTTGATCATATTTTATGAGGGGAAACAACTAAGACTTCGGTTTGAAGTCTAATGAAATCTTGAACTTCGCTACTTCCCCCTTGGTAAAATATGATCAACAAAAAACAGACTGTTTCATTAGTTTTCTTGTGAATTTTCCATGTACTGAATGTACGTCAAAAACTCCAGAGGACTTCATGAGACTTCATTGGACTTCAAAACCGAAGTCTTAGTTGTTTCGTCGTCGCTTACTCGTTGCTACTGTTTCTTATTCTACCTCGGACATTTTTCCATAAAAATAAAAAAATAAATTGTTGCGCTGTCAAAATGGACTTGATACCCATTTAATTAGGTCAAGTGTATAAAATTTGCAAAATAGATAACCCTAACGAACTATCTTGGACTATGCGCATGAAATATATGAGCATCTAGAGCAAGAACATCATGCGCTACTGATAAATCTTGAGGGCTGTTCATTTTATGCGCATAAGAAAGAAAACTCTATGCAAACAAGGGCCGTTTCGAGATTCAATCACCCTCCAGATCGAACATTTTTCAGCTGAAAATATGTTCGACTTGTCGAAAATGTATTGACTGCTTTTAATCAGCATATTAATGAAATTCTTTCTCTCATGCAGGTGGCTTTCTCAAGATTCTTGAAGAAGAAAGTCATGTGCTAATGATAAACTTTGACGTCTGCATAGATCAAGCATACGAAAAAAAAGTTCGCCTAGGAAATAATTTTCCTCAATAACTTAATGCAGCTTTTCTAATCATGTGATAAAGCAGTGAAGCCTTAACACTAAGTTCTATGAGATTTTCAGGAGTAGAGTGAGGATCATAGAGGTTAAATATGAATTTCTGGAATGTCATTTGTGATTATAAAAATTCCAAAAAATCCATGGAAATCCAAAATTTTCATGGGAATCACGAAAGTCCGATGGGAATCCGGAATCTGCCGTTTCCCCCTTGGTATATATTCAATAGCTAAGATTAAACATATAAAATGGCTGTTTGTGTTTTTTGATTGTAATATTATTTAACAAAATAATTTCTACGAATGTGCACCACATCCAGGTTTTCTTACTGTTTTTGTAATGCTTGTAATGCAAGAACGAGGACAATAAGTACCACACAAACACCTGAACAACTTGATTATGATAATTTTCGTCATGTATGTCATAAATGGAATTATAATTTAGCAAATAGTTTTATTGTTTGTCTTGATTCAACTGATTATATACAAATATACGTCAAGTATTACAAGTCTTCACTGTTCTTTTGCCTATATATCCAAAAATGACAACATTTTATGATGCATTTGAACGACGTATTAAAGCGATATGTGCAGCTGACAAAGATCGTCGTCATGATTTTTGCTACATGTTGTTGTGGTCATTTAGTACATGAAAATTGTGATATGATTGAAAAAAATCAATTTCCTTCGGTTCCAGAACGACAAACGCCATCATTAACAAGTAATAATAATAATAATGCTGGTACGAAAATGAATCCTATTGTTACACCGATAATCGGTGATACAAATAATGTTAATTACCATCCTATTTTGTCAGATACACAATCAGCACCAACGCCAACCACTTGGTCAATACAAGAAGATTCATCGACTAGTAATACAACGGGTACAATACGAATGCAAAACAACACAAAAAGATTTGAAGTTAATTGTTTTGAAAGCACGACTAACGAGTGATAAATTCATGAATGTTTGAACAACAAACAATGAACCGACAACAGCAACAAAATCAGCTTCACCAGCACCATCATCTGAACCAACTGTATCAACATCTTGATTAGCAACAATAAATGATACTGGTATGATGCAATATTGCCATCGGTGTCCATTCAAGTAGGCTCTTATTCTCTATATATCGCCCTGGAAAAAAATGGTGTCACTCAATATTTTCAACATATCATCACTATAAATCAACATTTTGAGAAAATTAATTATATATTCGGATAGCGCGTGGAATTCTCCACAATCTTATATATGTACGTTTTGAATATATTTGTTCGCTAAAAATAAACTCAAGTACAGTAAAGGCACCCTCATCATCAAATTCCCCGAAAATGTATTTTTTACTCCTTCTTCATTCATATTTTCAAGTTTATTTCGAATATAGAAACAAGTTATTACAAAGATAAGTATATATTCTAAAAGTATTTTGAAAGCGCATGAAATTCTCTATCACTCTGTACTTTTTCCAGTCTTCACTTGCAATTATTTGATGACAGATACTTCGAGTATTGTTAATATACCCATGCATCACGTTCCTAGGTCAGATATTGTTCAAAATTTAGGCTATATCTCTGTGCAAAATGGTTCATCATAGACCAACCACTCTTAGTAGTATTAAGATCAGGGCTAACAAGTGGATAATTATCCATACATCTTATTCGGTTACTGTATAACCATTCATGGGCTGCTGTATGAGTTCATGTGTAGTAATTGAGAGTGAGAGTGGCACATTGAGGGCACATTAACAATATTCGAAGTATCTGTCATCAAATAATTGCAAGTGAAGACTGGAAAAAGTACAGAGTGATAGAGAATTTCATGCGCTTTCAAAATACTTTTAGAATATATACTTATCTTTGTAATAACTTGTTTCTATATTCGAAATAAACTTGAAAATATGAATGAAGAAGGAGTAAAAAATACATTTTCGGGGAATTTGATGATGAGGGTGCCTTTACTGTGCTTGAGTTTATTTTTAGCGAACAAATACAATTCAAAACGTACATATATAAGATTGTGGAGAATTTCACGCGCTATCCGAATATATAATTAATTTTCTCAAAATGTTGATTTATATTGATGATATGTTAAAAATATCGAGTGACACCCTTTTTTTCCAGGAGGATATATTTGAATAAATGACTGTCATATATTCTTCAATTATCTCTTCCTTTATCAATCACCTTGTCGTATCCTTTTCTTTTCAAGAGCATCCTCCCTCTTCCGAATTCAAAACGTTAGTTTTATTGTGGCGGTTGTATAGTCTCAAGTAGTACCTATCTACTGAATAGATTTTGTAACCCAAAAAGCGTCTGTAAACGTTAAAAAATTCGAGAAAAAATCAAATTTAATTAACGAAAATAGCGAAAACTGTACATTGTTTCGCATTTTTCTCAAAACAAGTTTCTCATGAAAAAAAAGTTCAAAAACGCTTTCGGTTTCTCCGGGATAATAAGTCCAATCAAGGCAAACACCTACATCCTGCATTTTTTAGGATACCCTCGATATTTTGGCTTTTATATTCGAAGAAAAAAAATTAAAAAGATACCCATCTCAGACAGTGTCTAGTGCCTGCAAACAATTTTCAGCACGATCGAACGTTACTGTTGATTGAAATAGAGCTTTGTTTCATATCTATTGACTTACATATTCACACACTTTCAAAAATAAATACAATTTCTAAAAAAATAAGTAACATCTAGCAACTTTCTGAAATATTAAAATCTTAGTATAACTATCGATCATCTGAAAAATATTACATGACAGTTGGCAAGATCACAGGAACATACCAATTAATCATAAGGAGAATATTATATAAAATCAAGCATTTCTTTTTAATATTAGTAAATTCTCACTAAAACTGCTTGAAAGATCTGAATACATCACCCATCCGACACTTTGTTATTGTTCTATATCACAAACAACTTCTCTATTGACATTATGATATGGTTTTCACCGATGTATTATCATTTTTTCGTTCTTTTTTTATCATCGTACACATGGCGTCTCTATCAACACGAAAATTATGTTCGACAATTAATGGATGCAAACAAACGGCTGCCATTAATTGCGAAGGTTGTTTACAAGCTTTTTGTACTAAACATTTTCTCGATCATCGTCATTTACTCGGCGAAGAAATGAACGTAATCATAAGTGAACATAATCATCTTCAACATACATTAAGTCAATCAACAGAACCTGATTCACATCCTTTCGTTAAAAAAATTAATGAATGGGAAAAAGAATCAGTCGCTAAGATTCAACAAAAAGCAGAAGAACTACGACTAGACTTATTCAAACTAATATCAATGCGTAATAATGAAATTTTGAGTACACTACAACAATTATCTGAAGAGTTGAATGAAAATCGAGAAAATGATAATTTCATTGAGATGGACCTTCAACAATGGAAAATCACTTTAGAAAATCTAAAAGCAAAACTTGATTCATCATTAACATTTTCATTTGATCAACATGATAATATACCACTAGTGCAGGACATTTCTATTATGTTTACAATAGAAAATGAAGTATTTGAACAAGTATTTGATAGCATCGTACAGATTAAACAATGTGGACAAGTAGTCATTCATGATACATCACATAATTACACAGAAATTCGAGGAAAAAATGAATATATCACTGGTCGCCATAAAATTCGTCTATGTATTGAACAATCTGCAGATAGGTGGACATTTCTAGGAATTACATCAAAATCAATACTTTTACAAAAACAATCAAGCAGTTCGAAATCATCTTATGGATGGACTAATAATAACTATTTTTGGTTAAATGGAGAATGTCATCCAAATAAGTCTAGTCCACGTATTGAGATGAAAACAAACGATATGATTAGTTTAATATTTGATTGTGATAATCATAAAATTTTGATGACTAATGAACGAACAAATGTAAAGTATGAATTAATTGTCAATACTGATCATTGTCCATTTCCTTGGCAATTTCATGTCAATCTATATGAAGCAAATAGTCGTATACGGATTTTGTCATTTTAATTGGCATTTTCTTTTAAATCATCGTTACATAAAAACTAATGATTCCTACAAATAAGTCGAAATTTTAAATCTATTTTCAAATCGATCACTGACATGATAGAGTTAACTTTTCTAATATGTATTTTTTTCAATTTAATCATATAAGATTTTATAAAGCTTAACCTTGATAATATTCTTCTTTTAATAACATGTGAAAAGCTCAAATATATCGATGCATAGTGATAGGGAAGGAATTCACTGTAAATTTCGTTATTCTTGTGAAAGAATATCTTTCACTATTGTTTCGTAGGACAACAAAAGCGAATTAGATTGGTGAGAACAACTAGGGAAAAGTTACAGAGTAACGGAATAACGAAAAATTCGTGAATTTGATTGTTTCGTCTACTTAAATGAAGACAAAGAGTGATTTGAGATGTCCTCAAGGAATTATCAAAGAAAAAACAGCTGGTTCCAATGAATCCATGTGATTCTAATATCACTTGAACGAGAATGGCATGATAAAGTTGTCCAATCAGTCTTGACAACCTTGTAAAAGGCACTTATCATAATCAATAGGATTAAAGTAATCTGGCTAACATAATATGTTCAAGTTATCATAAATAGTAAGGGAATATAGATTAATCATATCAACATTTCTGACTAGGATGATGAGAATTCGCCAGTGAAATATTGAACAATTCCTTAGTCTTCTGAGATTTTTCATTTCTAGATCACTATGTATTATTAATTTTAGCTTTCTAATAGCTCTATACTGTACAATGATTTCAAAAGTAAAAAAGAAAACCAAATGAAATGAAAACTTGTTGATGAATATACTACTAATTAGTAGAATGAAAATGCAAGAAAATATGCTAGATTTTCCCGTATATTCAACTTAATTATTCAAACAGCAAGAGAGGTCATTTCCAGTACGACACATGAAATCCTGTTTTCATCATGATCTCAATAATCCTGTTTCCTATTAAAAGATTTACGTTACGATCAACAAGCGAACATACTGTTTTATCATACCAAGAATTATACTCATTCCTTGATTTGTTTTTAATAATAGCTTGTAATCTTAAATACCATTTGAAGTATTCTAATGGATGAATCATAGCTAATACATTATTTTTTTTTTTCGTTCTGTACACAAGGGACTTTACTTTTTCATCACATCGTACTTTTGTTTTTACCTTCAACGTTATTTTTCCTCAAACTTTTCATCCTTCACTACACCAAACACATGGCGTCTTCTTCAACACGAAAATATTGTGCAGATACTAATGGTTGTAAACAAACAGCTGCTGCACTTTGTGAAGGTTGCTCTCAAGCTTTATGCACTAAACATTTTATCGATCATCGTCGTTTGTTGAGCGAAGAAATAGATGTAATCATTAGTGAATACAACCAATTTCAAAATACATTCAACGAACAAACAACTAATATTGACTTGCATCCATTAGTCAAACAAATTAACGCATGGGAAAAAGAATCAATTGATAAGATTCAACAAAAAGCACAAGAACTACGACAAGAACTACTTCAACAGACCACTATTGACTTCGAGAAGTTATCAAAGAAACTTCAACACCTATCTGAACAACTAAAAGAAGGTCGAGAACATGATAGCTTCGTTGAAACTGATCTTTGTGATTGGAAAAAATCACTCGAAGATCTAAAATCAAATCTCATTTTGCCTTCAACATTTTGCATTAGTCAAGATGATGGAATTCCACTAGTGCAAAATGTTTTTGTTCATCCGATCGAAACAATGGAAGTATTTGAACGAGCGTTTGATAATAATGTTTTAATAGAAGAAAATGGATTAGTCGCCATTCATAGTACAATTCTCGCCTACACAGAAATACGTGGAAAAAATAAATACACATCAGGTCATCATAAACTTCGTCTATGTATTGAACAATCTTCTGATACTTGGATATTTTTCGGAATTAACTCAAAGTCAACACCTCTACAAAGCTTATCATACAGCTCTGATTCAACGTATGGATGGGCTAGTAACAATCATCTTTGGTTAAATGGAGAACCCCATTCAAATCCATCTACTTCTCGTATTGAGATGAAAATGAATGATGTAATCAGTTTAATCTTCGATTGTGATAATCGTGAAATTTCGATGATTAATGAACGAACTAATGCAAGATCTGATTTGATTGTAAATATTGATCATTGTCCATTTCCGTGGCAACTTCATGTCAATTTGTATGAGGCGAACAGTCGTGTGCGTATTTTGCCAAATTTATCCTAATATGTATTCTGATGCATGACGTATGCTTTAGAATATACGCAATAACTCACTGTTTAAGTGACACTCTTCATGAAACGATCAAGTATTTTACAGACTTTTTAAAATCTTGCAACAATTATATAATCACTTCTATTTTCAACTTAATATGAAAAACGCCTTAGTCTCATACAATACTTTAGAATAAAATATTAAAAGTAAAACTTATTTTGCTTTATCTATCATTTTTGATTCAACATATACGTATATACACGAACTTGATGTTTTTCTTGGTTCAAATAGAAGAATTCGTAATTTCACAATTTCATACTTTTCGAAGATTCATAAAAGAAATCATTTAAGTAGAACATTGTAAAAAATTTTAGACGATGGTTATAACACTTTTGAAATAAATTTTCTTGATGTTTTGCATTTTTTCGTTTTTGAATTTTTATCTGAAACATATGGTTCCTTTTTGTAAAATGTTATAATATGTAGTATTTCCAAGTTTCAAAATTGAATCCATCTAGTTAAATGCTGTTTTGGGCATTCATCGATTAGAAAATTCGCATATCTGAAATAAACATAATTATAGTTTCCTAAAGTATAGCGAAATATAAAGAATTTCCTTTGTCGAGAAATGACGAGATTTTTTTAAATTCTGCTATGCAAACATGTCGAACGAAATGTCCTACTTTTCTATGTTCACAATTTCAGAAATGGCATCTCATTATACGGATGATTTCTATAATGTGATGCTCTGGTAAAAAAAACATATAGTCATTTTCTCTTTTAAAGGCGCACAGGTACTCTTGAGTATTTACAATAGATAGGTAGAACGACTAGAGTTTCATTTCTTTTTAAATCTACCGATATACATTTAGTACTATTTTTCTATGGAAGGAGGTACACAACTGAATGATGCACTTAGTGCTGATTTTCTACATGTTGTTCTCTATTCGAAAGAGACAAAGAAATGATATGCTCGACTGCAATTGCATTGTTTCTCATTCGGACAAGCCGAAATATTTTCAAGAGAATCATAGATAACATTGATCATGATTCAAGAAGTCTTCTGTTTTGTTCTTCTCCTTAATATACATGATTTTCATATTGGCACATTTAATATTGGTTTTCAGCTTTTGAATGATTAATTAATAGAGAATCTTTAGAAAGTGTATTGTAAAGATGATTCATTGAAGAGCAACTATGTCTTATATAATGCTCATTCTATTTTCATCACAATTCTCAGCCAAGTGTCTTGTGTTATTGCAGGATGACCTTATTAAATATTTATCGAAATAGAACTAGAACTATTCAAGGATTGACTTATTCTCAATTGTGTGATTTCAAAAACTCATCACTTTCTTTATTTTGAAGTATTCATTTACTATTGTATGACAGAGACATCAACTTATTTATTGTTCAAAACGCATGCTCTTCCATAGATTCCTATGCAAACTCTCTATTGACAGACAAATAAAATAAGCAATAGATTTTCATTTACATCGATTTCGTATTTCAATCGTGATATTCTACGTCATTTTCAATTTTAACAAGAAAAGAAAAATAATTTCTCATTGGGAACCTGCGAATATACATATTGAATATGTATATCGGCTTGTCCACGTAACGCGACACTTTGCTGATTAAGTTTTGAAAAAATTTTTTTTCGAGTTGGACAGATCTCAGTGGGGTACTAGATGCAGTTTTTTACGCTGATTACGAATTTGGTAATAATTTTGTATAAAAATCAGATTTTGATATCGAAAACTGGATTTTAAAGT